ACATCATTAGATAATACATGTGGAGCATTTGCTGTGGGCCACCCATGGGCAGTGTCTCACGTGCACCATCTTGGTTAGTCCTCACAGCAACCCTGGCAGCAGGAGACTCGATTGAGGCTGTGTTGACTCCTGGAGGCATCCCAGTGAAAAGATCCTGCACCAGAAGGGGTGCTCAAGGTTCATCTAACCCAGATCAGTTCATGTGGCTCTTTGGAGCTGGCCAAATCTGACTTTCACTGTCACTTCTGCCCCCGTCACTTATTTTGCAGTGAGCAACAGCTGCTTCCTGTGTCTTCGCATACAGAAGGCAGCCTGCCTGCTTCCCCATTGCTCCCACGGCTGGAAAATGCAGGCGCAGTGTTGGAAGAAAGCAGGCCAGGAGGGACGTTGAGGGGTGCAGCAGCCTTGAGCCTCGAGCCCATGTCCTCTGACTGGGCTTTCTGGCCCCACTCTGCTGAGTGGTCTCTGGGTTTAGTCCCCTGGGACATGAAGAGAAACAAGCTGGTAGAGTAATGCCATCGGTGTGGTCCTTGGTGACCTCCTAAGGCCATCTCCCATGCTGAGAAAAGAACAAGGAACTTGGATTTCACCCAACTGAAATGCCCATGCCTCCCAGCCCTGGCCAAGGTGTGTAAACAGGTGCCCCTTTTAACGCCCTCCTCTAATTCCACCTTTCCAGGAGACAGCTGTTTTGACCACATAGAGGAATTCTGTCCCCTTTATGGGCTGCACCATTGCTCTACTGCATTCCTCTCTGTCATTCCAATGGACCTTGTAGCCCTGGGGATACAGAGGTGTACTGAATATGGCACTCCTGTAAGACATAAGTCACCACATCTCAGGGAAGACCCTCCCTGTCGAGGTGGCAGGGGGTGAGTGGCACCATGAGTAGGACTCCCTGGAATGGGGAAGAGCTTTGGCTTGAATGGTTTTTTTTGCCTCTGATCACCAGGATGAAGCTGAGCTGGCTGTTGACCTGTCTGCCTCCCCCATTCCCCAAGTGCCTGAGAGTCCCCCAGCCCCAACCCTCGTTCTTCCCAGGAGATCAGATTCCTATCATCCACTCCTCACCATTTCATTAAACATGTAGCTTATCAGTGACAAGTGTTTGAGGACATAGGATGCTCTTTCTGAGTTGAACATTATACATACATCAAAACATCACATGGCACCCCACAAACACATACAGTTTTTAATCTTTGAACCTAAAAACTATATTTTAAAAATACGGTTTCTCCACAATGCCACTGTAGAACGCAGCAGGTGTGTGACCTATCCATAAAAAGGAACAGAACACTCAGCCTGTGCCAGGTGGTGAAGCTGTTAGACTCATAGCACACAGGCCAGTTTGTGCTCATACAAGGGGAGCAAAGACAAAACAGATGCCCTGTGGCCACCTGCCACAGCAAGTTGCCAGTCTGCACTACCCACATATGACCTCTGGTGTTCCCAAAAGATGGCATTGGTAACAGCCAGCTTGTGCTATCTGCAGCAAGGATGCCTGGTTCTAATCCTGGCTAACTGGAGTCTCAGCCTTGGACCTGCCTCTATAAAATGAGGACAATCACATGTCCTTAGGGGGCTAAGCCAACATGTATAAAACTTGCAGTGCATCGTCAGCCCTTAATAACTCGAGTCCAATTTTATTGCTAGCAGCCACAACGTACACAGTGCCCTGGCACTGAAGACAATAGATAGCGATGTACTAAGCCATTTTTATGAGCCTCGTGTGTTAAGTACATTCCCTCTACTCACACCGGCCCACAGGGTAGGTCGGCCAGCATCCTCATTTTGTAAATAAGGAACATGAGGCTCAGAGCAGTTAAGTAATTCTGATAGGTTGTGGCAAAGAGAAGGCTCATATTAAAATAAAACACACCTGCTCCCCAGACTGTGCCGACCTGCCTCTCCATATAGTCTAGCATATAGAGCTCTGCTCCCTTGCAGGGCACCACAGAGGAAATGCCCAGTGATTGTGCAGAGGCTACTGCTGTTTGGCGGGGGGAGAGTAGGCGTGTCGGGGTTGGAGGTATGGATAGGACATACCTTCAGCCCAAGATAGCACTTTCAGCACCAGTATGCCAAAGGCTCAAATTCAAAACTCAAGCAATTGAAAAGTTCATCTCTGATTTTGCAGACCCTTAGCCCCGGAGCCAATTTAGAAAACAAACAAGGGCCATTCACATTAACCAGGATTCAGAAGAGAAGTTCCTACACAGTAATAAAGACTAATCTGTCTTTATTACATGTAGTACATGTCCAGGTCCTGATACATTTATTTTAAGTAATTAAGAAGAGAGAGCAAAATGTAAATCCAGCTCATGCCCAGGTAGAGATGAATGCTTGTCCCTCCCGTGAGAGGAAGCCAGCAAGCATGAAACTGTTGAGTGGAACAAGGAGAAGTCAGCCCTGCAGATCTGCTGGCCTCCCTAGAGGGGCCACCATGGGAACGTGCCTAGGGGGTTAGTATGTTTCAATGCATGGGCTCCAGATGGTAGAAAGACCATCTTCTCCATATCCCTCCAAATCGCCTTTCTTTTCTTGGTGATGAAGATTCCCATTCTTAGCTTTTGCTTCTTAGCAAAACTAGGCTAGTGCAGAAGCCAGACTTCCCCACCAAGCTGCCTGGAAGTCACTCTCTGCTACGGCACAGCCAGCATTCCTTGCTGAATCAGACTCCATACTAGAACAATTATGAGTCACATGTTAGTAAATGAGCCCTAGAAGGAAGAGAGAGAGAATGAGGTGACATTTATCAGCAGTTGAATCTTAGGAAATGACAAGCATTGCCTAATCGTTGGTCAAATTCATATACATTACCTTTCAGATCATTGCTTGGCAGCTCTTGCGATGGTTTCTAACTGTCAATATTTACAGGAACCAGGCACTTAACAACACAGGCCAAGTGGGCTGGATGTCTCCAAGGATGAGTCATGCCAGATGAAGCCTTTTATCTAAGGTTACTCTTCAGCATCCTCATTGGATGGAGTGGCCTGCAAGTCACCAGGTCAGTAAAAGTCAGGTGTGTGGTTGCATGTTCAGTCCAGTTCTCTGGATGCACCAAGACTTATGAAAGCAAAACATGGAGCAGAGGGAAGGGGGAAGAATGGGTTTGAAAGCACATAGGCCTGTGGATTGTTTTATGTTGACTAGCTAGTAAGTATAGCTCTGAGCCTAGAGCAAGGGGGCAGAGAGGTGGCTCCAAGAGCCCAAGTCAGTCTCCACTGTGCCCCAGGGAGACATGACAGACTTGCCTACCACAGGCACTTACATCCTCCAGACCTAGCTATGAAGCCATACCAGGGTTCTTTGAAAAGTTTGTGGAAAGTAAAATTAAGAGGTTAGTTTTATTTTGGTACAAAAAAGATCTTGAAATCCATTGTAGTTTTTTAATAATATGCTTTTCTGTGGCCTTTTGGAAGGTCCTATCATATGCATGAATTTCAGTATTTGGGGGCATCAAAATAAACATATTTTAATTCCATTTTCTATTTAAAAAAAACCAAGATGCATTTCAAATTTTTTGCAGCAAAATAAACATCTTTTGATTTCATTTTCCACCTATTTTCCATATGATCCAAGCAGACGCACACCAAGGAGGGCAAGACTGGATGGACCTAGAGCCAGGCAGTCGATCCAACCTGGTTATTTTTAAGCCAATTAGATTCACAATCCCAGTCAGCCAGAGTGGAAACACTGAATACCATGCAAACCATGGGAAATGACTCTTTTATTTTTCCGTTTTGAAAGCTGAATATATTTAGAAGTCACTCATCTAATAAGGGAGCTAACCTCAAAGTCAGGTACATCAGAAGTCTTATCAAGTAGGAAAACTCTGAGGAGCACAACTCTGGGAGCAAGAAGAAGGCAGAGTCTAAGGGCAAGCGTAGAGACCCACAAAGGAAAACTTCACGAGAGGAAGTGGGGCAAGAGGAGCAAAGCACGCAGTGGTTTTCTGACACTTGTTGGTTGGTCTTAGACCTTCCCTGGAATGTGTTCACTTGCACACAGAAAAGAAAGCTTGTTTTGTCATCATTAGTAAATGAAAAAAATAACACCAGACTTGAGAAATGCCACCATCAATATAAGGGAAAAGTAACAGTGACTTGAAACCTTCCCTTTCTAGTATATACACAGCAGCTGATTGCAGTCATATTAGAAGTCACATCCTTCCCAGAATCCTTTGTGGGCCCAGCACTATGCAACATATGACTAACTGGTCAACACTGAGCTCCAGGAATCCCAATTCCCTCTCAAGTCAGTGAGCTAAGCTAGGATTACCAAAGGGTCCTAAAAGAGAACAAGGTGGGCCTGGCACAGTAGTCTAGTGGCTTAAGTCCTCACCTTGCATGTGCCAGAATCCCATATGGGCATCATTTTGTGCCCCAGTGGCCCCACTTCCCATCCAGCAGACAAATCTTTCTGTCTCTCCTTCTCTCTGTAAATCTGACTTTCCAATAAAAAAATAAATACAATATTTAAAAGACAGCAAGGTTATCATTGAGTTGTGTGACCAATGTTTTTGGTCCATATTGGAAGATATCATAGAAGGATGAGACATAGCAAGACTTCCCCACTGTGAAGGTTTTCAGATGGGCGGATATTTCACAGAGCCAGCATGTTTGAAGGCTCAGAGCTTTCAAGACAATACCACAATGAAATGAGCTCATTGGACCTGCAGACAGAATGGTCAAAGCACACGGCCATCAGCCAGGGCCATAAACCAAAGGACAATCCTCCCATGGCACTTGCGTGAACACGGAACCCTGGAATCATCTTGAGTCACAAAGGGCAACAAGGGATGTAGTCATGGTCTGGAAAACTCTTTTATTGTAGCTACAGTATACCATAAAGCAGAGGCTGCAAGACAGACACCCTTGCACACACCCCAAGAGCCTCACAGTCACAGTGTGTTTGCACCAGCAGGCACCCTACCCCAGTCATGCCAAGAGGCACATACTGAGCTGCTCGGTTGGCCCATGTGTGTGTGTGCTCTGGCCAGCAGCATGTACATACATGCACTGCGTAACTGATTGGAGGAGGGGCAGCCAGACTGTTAGAGGGTTTCCATTGCATTCCAGAGCATCTGCTGGGAGCCCTCTGTTTCATTTCCTCTTCAGTTTCCTCTTTCTGCTGGGGGTGGAAGTAAGGAGAGGCTGAATGGGGAGTGGTTTTGAAGGAGAAAATGAAGAAGAAAGGATGGACCCATTCCTGTTCCTCTTTTTCCCGTACTTCTCCACTTCTGTCTCTACGTCTTCTAGAATACCTTGCACAGCATTCTGTGCTAGTGATTGCACCAGTTTGCTTGGGCCACCAAAACAAAGCCCTACAGACTGTATTTCTTCACAGTCTAGAGGTCAGAAGTCCAAGTTCAAGGTGTCAGCAAGCTTGGTTCCTCCTGAGGCCTCTCTCCTTGGCTTGCAAATGGCCATCTTGTCATGTCTTCACGAGGTCTTCCTCAGTTCTACCAAAGACACACATTCAGAATGGATTATGGCCTACCCACAAGACCTTCAGAGGGCCTTTAAAGACCTTTCAGCACCTCTTTAAAGACCCTATCCCCAAATAAGTTCATATTCCACAGTACTGGGAGTCAGGGCTTCAACCATGCCAAAGGTGAAGCAAGGAGAAAAGTCAACCCGTGTGTATAGAGCCCTTGCCATTGGCCTGGCCCCAAGCCAGACAGCAAAAATAAAAGATCAGAAAGACATCATCACAGCTCTTTGTGCCTGAATGACAAAATTACACCCCAGCGAGCGAGTGAAAGCAATGGCTGGCTGGATCCATCATCAATGACTTCAGTGAACAAACATCAACACAGCTCCCACAGCCCAGAGGGCTCAACCAGCTCACCCCCAGAGAGTCCATGAGCAGCACTAAGTCCAGAGCTGGCAGCCCACTACCAGTGCAGTTGCACAAAAGCCACTCCACCATGCCTAGAGAAGCCTGCCAGCTCTTGCCCACAGCAGAGCCATGGCATAAGGCCCTTTCAGATGAAATCCAGATTTTCCTTGCTGCCCCCACCCTATTGCCCCCAAAGAACCCTGGCTCACAGCAGGCCCTCCTAGAAGAACTGAAAGCACCCCCTCTGCCCTCTCCTCTGCCCACCAGCACTGTGTCAGGTTTGCTGTGCTGAGGGGCCACATCACCACAGACCACAGCTGCCACGTGCTGGTAACAGGCAAGGCTCTGTCCTGGGATAGTGTCAGCCCATGACAGCCAACTAAGAGTTTCCACATCCTCAACTGTATCCTCTACCAGCACTCACTGGGTCCCAGTTAGAGGAACAGAAAGGCACTGTGCCTCCGCCTTGTCGCCTGTGCCTTCTTCCTCTCACTCCAGAGAATTCGACTGCGTCACTCGATGGTTAGTATCAGTGCTGATGAGTATTTACTTAATCAATCTTCAAAGAGATTTTCAGGTGGGGATTTCGGTGACTAAACCCAGGTCAAAGTTCCTCGGACCATCAATCAGGGCCAACAGGGAGCAGGCCCAGCTGACAGTCACCTGACCGCAGCAGCTGTGTGCAGACATGGAGCTGGTCCCTGTCCAGCATGACACCGGGCACTTCCTGAATCACAATGACTCGCCACGCACTCACTCACACAGAGGCCTCCCTTGCTTGGGTGACTCCTATTTATTGCTTTCTAGCACATTCTCCCTGCAGTCCAAACACAATTAAGACACAGCGGCCTATCTGTGAATCTGTCCTTTATCACCCAACAGGCAACCCAAAAGCTCAGGGCTGGTATTTCCTCTGACCCAGTAGGGATTTTTATGGGGTTTTTATTTGGTTTCACTTTTGCCATACTTCTGAGAAAGGTTCTTTTGTTCTTCCTTCACTCTTTGTTTTAAGTCCTTCAAGGTATTCTGCTCAGAAAACCACACAGCTGCTGCCCTAGTCAGGTAACCCCCAAAACAGGGCACTGAGAAAACCCCTATCTTCCTATAGGTCTTTCAAGGGTTCAAGTCACAAGTTCTCAGGATAGTAGCGGTCCCTCCCTTCAAGACCAACTGTCTCAAGGTCAGACCCGAGGGAGGCAGAAGCCAGGTAGAGAACCCCCCACCTCCACCCCCTGACCTCATCCTAGAACTAAGGAAGAGCGTTCTGTGTTCAAGGATGGTGGACCCAGGGGCTAGTCTGCTCGAACAGCCCTCCTTGGTTAATCTTGGAATCTAAATGTGAACTGCCATCAGCTCAGCTCCTCCCTGCAGTGTTTGAGCCTGCAGTGACCACTTGGCCCTGGTGAAGTCATCTAGACCTCTCTTTGAATCTCTCTCTCTGAATATCTCTCTCTCTGATGAAAAGAAGCAAAAGTGGCCATCATGTCCATCACCTGCAACCTAGGGGAAGTTTCTGAAAGCCATTGAAATCAGCATTTAGAGGAAGTTGAGAGAAGAGAAAGTATCTGGTAGGGTTAATTCCTAGCTGAAGGTGTCCTGGGTCCTACAGAACTGCCTTTTAGAAGCCTTGGCCCCTTTAACTTGCCCTCAATCACCACTGTTGCAAAGGAGGAAGTGGAAGAGAAGGAACCTGGAAGAAGGGCCACTCAGTCCCCAAGTTGACAAAGAGGGCCTGTCTGCAGTTGTGCAGAAGGTTTCCAAATCTTTATCAAGTCAGTGCTCAGGATCACGCACTGTGAGGCTGACATAATTAACCAGATCATTGGAGTGTTCTTAGAACAGGTGTCAGGGGACAGCAGTGACAGCTCTCTCCTGATGGATCCTTAGAAAGCTCAGTGCTCCAGGAGAAAGAGCCCATCATGGCTCTTCCTGTAGGAATGTACCAGTCACATACCAGCTTCCCCCACCCCCATCATATCATTGGCTAAATTCACAAGTGGTCTCCATAAATCCAACTGCCTTTTCCACAACCTAACACCTGCCTAAGAAGAGCCCCTCAGAGTCCAGCTTCTCCTCCAGTTACAAGACCCCCCAGAGCAAGGAAGCTCCAGAGGTGGACACAGACCCCAGACCTGCCTTTCTGTCTACTCCAGTGTGCTCCTGCAGATGACACCACAGGGAAGCCTCACTTCCCCAAGTGCTTACCCAGCTCTGATTAAAGGACCCAGGTTAATCCCCTTACTCATGCAGAAGAATCAAGGGGAGGGGAGGGGGGGAAGGAAGACAGCAGCCCCAAGAGTCAGAGCCTCAGTGTTGACTCCAAGTTCAGAGACTCTAGCTGAAGCCACACAGTGCCCCCTGGCATCACTCTGAGAAATGGATCCAATCATGAGTCAGAGAGGAAGCAAACACTGACTGAATCACCCTTCACTTCCTCCTGCCCGGAGCAGCTCAGCCAAGACCAGCAGCCACTTCCGAGGAAGAAATCAGTGAGCAACACTCCGAGAAGTTGATGTTCCAAGGAGAGCAAACACAACTCTCCCAAGCCCGCCGTGAGCAACCAACCGCCAGGGCAGGCCCTTCCTGGGGCTCCCCGCCCCCCTACATGTTCCAGAATAAAGCTGCACATCTTGTAACAGCCCCTATCCTGTCCTGCACTGACCTTGGATGTGTTATTTTTCACTTCCCTGTTCAGAACACAGCCACACTTTCCAAATGCCATGAATCATCACCACCGAGCAACGGCCATTTAGCAAGGCAGGAAACCACTGAGCGCCAGGCCTGGAAGGGGCAGCTCCTGCTGCTGCAGTCCTCCTCCCACCACCTCCCCCCTCTGCCCCCATCCTCCGCCTCGGGCTGGTCATTGTGGTACTAGGCCACAGCGGAGGCTGCCAGGATAGTTCCTGCTCTGTGTACTCAGCAGCCCCCACTGTGGCCCACATCGGGCTGTTTCAGGCTTATCCAAAGTTCTCTCAGGTTGCATTAGTTGAAGCCAGGCTGTCATCTTCTAATGCCAAGGAGAGAGAGATGGGCAGACCCATTCAAGGCCAAGAGGCATTAGATCAGCTGGAGAGCAGGAGATGCAGCACGAGTTCTGATGGCAAGTAGCCTTGCAATTATAGGACAAATGCTGCCCCTCATCCAAGCCCCTTCAACACTGAAACTATGTACCTTCTAAGATGTCCATTCAATACACTCCCAAAAGTAGTCACCACTGAGGCCTAAATCCAATCAGTCATCAACATATTGTTGGCATCCTCAAAGTTTTCTTATGTTGGGGTTGGCGCAGTTGCTTAACAAGCTAAACTTACACTTTCAAACACCTGTATCTCATATGGGCAGCAGTTCCTGCCTGAGCTGCTCTACTTCCCATCCAGCTCCCTGCTTGTAGCCTAGGAAAGCAGTAGAGGATGGCCCAAAGCCTTGGGTCCCTGAACCCACATGGGAGACCCAGAAGAAACTTCTGGCTCCTGACTTTGGATTAGCTCAGCCCCAGACACTGAGAGCATCTGGGGAGTGAACCAGCTGATGGGAGATCTTTCTCTCCATCTCTCCTTTTCTACAAATCTGCCTTTACAACAAAAATAAATACGAAAAAATGAAGTTTTCCTATATTGAGTTCCTGGCTTCACATATTTCTGAACAAAATGTCTGCTGTCATGCTAGTCCTATGTTCTGACATAAAAATGAGATAGATCCTCATATGATGATATATTTTCCTGTGTAACCATAATGCCATTCAAATGTGGAATGAGCAAGCAAATGCAAATCCACAGAACCATGAAACATCAGTTGGGTTGACCAAGCTTTTCAATTTTTTTAAAGATTTATTTTTCTTGGGTAGTCAGATAAACAGAGATGAGGAGAGACAGAGAGGAAAATCTTCCATCCGCTGACCCACTCCCCAAGTGGCCACAACAGCTGGAGCTGAGTCAATCAGAAGCCAGGAGCCCGGAGCCCGGAGCCTCCTTTGGTCTCCCACAGGGATGCAGTGTCCCAAAGTTTTGGGCTGTCCTTGACTGTTTTCCCACAAGCAGGGCGCTGAATGGGAAGTGGGGCTGCTGGGACCAGACTCAGAGCCCATATGGGATCCCAGTGCATGAAAGAAAAGGACTCCAACGGCTAGGCTACCATGCCTGGCCCCAAAGTTTTCAATTTTGACAGTGTATCTGATGAGTGAGGAAATGGTCAGCCTTCCATACTCTCGGTGGATGGAAAGTGTTCTACCTTTTCCAGAGGCAGTTTGATCATCACATTTATTAATGAGTGCCCTCTTACTCTTTGATTCCAACACTTAGGAATGAAATCACAACTGAACAACCAGAAAAAAATGCACAAAATATAGGTACGAAAATAGTCATCATAGTGTGGTGATCAGTACAAACAAACAAAACAAAGTTGAAATAATCCAGATGTGATTGAGCAAGTGAATGAGGATACATTTGAAAAAATGGAATGCAACCATTAAAAATAAAGGGGGAGAGACAAGTGTTTGGCACAATGGTTAAGAATTCACTTGGGTCACCTACAGCTCCTTATTGGATATCTCCATCCAGATTCCATATCTGCTTCTGCCTCCAGTTTTCTGCAAATGTGCACCTCAGGGAAGCAGTAGGTGATGGCTCAAGTAACTGAGTCTCTGACACACACAGAGCAGGCTAAGATTTCCTCGCTTCTGTTTTCAGCCGGGTCCAGCCCTGGCCATGGCCAGCATTCGGTGAGTGAACTAGCAGTGAATACAAATTCTCTCTCCCTTCTTCCCTATTTCTTCTCCCCTATCTCTTCTCTCTCCATCTCATTGCCTTTGAAATAACAAACAAAAACCTTTAAATAATGTTGGAAATCTTGTCCAAAATTCTAGAGCATTCCCATGGGTCATTTAGAAGGCCGTGTGGTTGCCAAAAAGGGGCCCCTGGAGCCTTGTCCACTTGGTCATGGCGCTCACCTCTACAGAATGGCCTTCACGGGCAATGTTTACTTTCTTCTATGTATTTTCTGTATTTTTTTAAATTGCCTACAACAAACATAAAGCATTTTTGTGATTTAAAAAAAAAGATGTCTATTCTTCATCTAAAACCCAAAGCAACATAAATTCAAAAAGTTTGCTTCCCTGGCAAGTCACATCTGTCTAAGATAAGCTTTATGTGTCTGTCCTAGCTGTGGTGGAAGATGTTACTTGCTATGGCTATTCTGCTAGGAGGCCTTGGGCTCTTCCTGTTTGAGTTCAGATGAGTTGAACTAGGTATGTCCACACTCGCTTCAGCAGCCCTTATGCGGCAACCCTATTGCCCAGGATGACTGATCAGGGTCAAACGTGGAGACCGGGTCATGGCAGAGCTCTTCCTCAACAGATGCCAAATATCCAGTGTAGTAATCAAATCCCACATTTCAGAGATTGGAATTAACTAAATTAACCATCACAGGCCTCTCTGGGTGACCAGGCAGAGCCAGATATTTTGAGAATATGGAAAGTGCAATTCCCACTTTCCTCAGCTCCAGAAATAAAGTCCAGATCCTAGGGGAGGGTAGAAACACCAAGACAGAAAGATTCTTAGGAAGTCTTACACTCTAGACCTTGCATGTGACACCTGGGGGAAGTCAGGCCCAGAGAAGTAAAGTGACTAGCTCAAGATTGCACAGTCACAGGGAGAGCTTG